TCAATAATCTCTCTGGGTATGTCTACACTACAGCATTATTTTGAAATATCTTATTTCGAAATAGTTATTTCAAAATGGCTTATTTTGAAATAACGCATCTACACACAAAATGCATTTTGAAATAGCTTTTTGCTATTTTGAAATAGCACGTCCACACTAAGTGGCCCCTGAATCACATTTAAGACCGGCCAGAACCAATTCCAGCAGGGCATCATGTCAGGAGTTACTTTGTGTGGCTGCTGCCTGAGGCTATCCGAGGCCTGTGCTTAAAGGGATCCCCCCTACCCCCCGACAGCCAGTTCTCAAGTTTCCCTGCTTGCTTGCCTTCCCCTCTGCGTGCTCTGATTGCTCTCACTCAGGACACCACAGAACTCTGCAACATGGAGCCAGAGCTACCCCTGGGCACTCTGATGCTTCTCGTGGACGCATTGCTGCGAGCCTGGCTTCACTTTCTGCAGTCTGCCATCCAGGAGGTCCATCGGGGAGCTGTCACTATCCAGGAGCCTCTCTGGTCTGCCCCACTGGGGGCTTGTGCCTCATTCCTCCCTCATGTCCTTCCACTTACCCCTCCCTAACCTCATTCCTGATGTCAAATAAAATACATGTATTTTCATGAACACAAACTCTCTTTATTTAACAAAACTGGGATTGGGGGAATGAAACTCTGGTGAGACTGGGGAAAAAAGGTGGGAGAGGGGAGAAGAGAGGGTGGGAAAGGGGAGGGGGAAATCTGGAGGTGGGAGCTGGAACGGCGGACCAAGAGGAAGAAGGGGGAGGGGAAGCTCAGGGTTGGGGTTCTTGCGGGACCAACTTGATTTTCATGGGTTCACATGTGGCCTTTGGTGGCGAGGCTGGCAGCTATCCTGACATAGACGGCCTCGTTCCTTCATCTAGTGCGGAGATCATGGACGTTGGGGGCATCTCCCCTAAACCTGAATAAGGCCCATGATCTCCACCCTGGACCAGGAAGGTGCCTGCCTTCTCTGGGCCCTGGCAGGCTCCTGGGAGCTGGCAGACTGCTCCTGGGGAGCGGTGGAGGGCTGGCTGCCAGTGGCTTGCTGGCTCATGTTTTGGGGCCCCTGAGTCAGGGGCAGTGACTGCTGGCTCTGGGCTGGCAGGCTTGGAGCTGGAACAGGCACTGTGGCCAGAGTCAACCCTGGGAGGGAGGAGAGAGAGGAGTGTTCTTGGTTGAGGCTGGAGTGGCCACCAGGGCACCCGGCTCCGGGGGAAAGGAGTGTTCTTGGTTGAGGCTGGAGTGGCCAGCAGGGCACCCTGGGAAGGCTGGAGGCCCTCTATTTCGATATAAGTGTCTACTCAGCACTTATTTCGAAATAGCTATTTTGAATTTGGCATTATTCCTCATGGAATGAGGTTTACCAAATTCAAAATAAGCGCTCTGCTATTTTGAATTAATTTCAAAATAGTGGTTTGGCTGTGTAGATGATAGTAAAGTTATTTCAAAATAACGGCTGTTATTTCGAAATAACTTTGCTGTGTAGATATACTCTCTCTCCTCTCTCTCTGGCTATGTCTACACTGCCATTTTTTTCCCCAGAAGATATGCAAATCGTGCTCTCATTTGCATATCTTCTGCCAATCCTTTTTGCGGAAGAGGTTTTGCCAATAAAAAGCTGCATGTAGGCAGGGCCATTTGTCGGAAAAAAACCCTTTTTCGCAAGATCCTGTAAACCACATTTTTGAGGAATAAGGGATCTTGTGAAAAAGGGGGGTTTCTCAACAAATGGCCTTGTCTACATGGGGCTTTTTATTGGCAAAACCTCTTCTGCAAAAAGGATAGGCAGAAGATATGCAAATGAGAGCATGATGTGCATATCTTCTGCAGAAAAAAATGGCCTCAGAATTCCATTGAGATCATGGCAAGCATCAGCATGATGCTTGGACATACTGATTAGCTACACCACAGAGATAAGTGCAGCTTATAGAAACACCTCCCTCTGTTCCATTCTTCAGCCCTGCACCCCACAGCCACAGCCTGCATCTCATCTCCTGCATCCTGATCCCCAGAAAGCTGCTATTTAAAACTAGCTATGTCTGACAGCAGTGGACAATAGTTCTGGCTGCCAGACTCCTCTCCCCATACACTGATCAGATCCTGCCGCTCTGTGGTAGTCCAAGCGGGGGAGTGTTTGGTGAGATGGGCTGGCATGGGCACCTGGGAAGACTCCATGAGACCTCTGCATGCTGAGCCAGCCCACAGAACAAGAGGAAAAGGGGGTGTTCCTGGTGTTCAGGCAGGAGGAAAAGGGATTTAAATGTTGAGGGGCTTGGAAGAGGATGGTGTGGGTAGTTGGTCACTTGGCTGAAGGGCAGCAGAGTTCAAGCTGCTGACCACAGTAGCTGATAGGAATTATGGGATACTTCCTGGAGGCCAGAATCAGTGATAAAATGTCTTGAGGTGTCCACACTTGCATGTTCGTTGACAACACAGAGAGAGGAAAAGACAAAAATCCCTCATGGAGCTGGAAGTTTTTTGTCAACAAAAATGGACGTTTTTTGTGACAAAAGTTGTGTTGAAGTGTGCACATTCATGCTCTTTTGTTGACAAAAGGCACTTTTTTTTTGCCCGTGTAGACAATCCCTTAAGGAGCAGCATATCTGTGAATTTTGTGTGTCCAGCAGATCAATGGCTGGGGGTTCAGGGGGAGGCTCAGAAGGCTCAAAGGTTGGATTGTGGCATTGGTGGGAAACGTCTAGACTACATGGCTCCATCGACGGAGCCATGTAGATTTGTTGTTTTGGCAAAGGCAAATGAAGCTGCGATTTAAATGATCGTGGCTTCATTTACATTTACATGGCTGCCGTGCTGAGCCGACAAACAGCTGATCAGCTGTTTGTCGGCTCGCGCATTAGTCTGGACGTTCCCCCTGTCGACATCAAAGCCCTTTGTCGTCAGCCCCGGTAAACCTCATTCCACGAGGAATAACGGGGCTGCCGACAAAGGGCTTTGGTGTCAGCAGGTTGGATTGTGGCATTGGTGGGAAACGTCTAGACTACATGGCTCCATCGACGGAGCCATGTAGATTTGTTGTTTTGGCAAAGGCAAATGAAGCTGCGATTTAAATGATCGTGGCTTCATTTACATTTACATGGCTGCCGTGCTGAGCCGACAAACAGCTGATCAGCTGTTTGTCGGCTCGCGCATTAGTCTGGACGTTCCCCCTGTCGACATCAAAGCCCTTTGTCGTCAGCCCCGGTAAACCTCATTCCACGAGGAATAACGGGGCTGCCGACAAAGGGCTTTGATGTCAGCAGGGGAGTGTCCAGACTAGCGCGCGAGTCGACAAACAGCTGATCAGCTGTTTGTCGGCTCAGCGCGGCAGCCATGTAAATGTAAATGAAGCCGCGATCATTTAAATCGCAGCTTCATTTGCCTTTGCCTATGTGTCTAATCTACATGCCTCTGCCGACAGAGGCATGTAGTCTAGACACAGCCGTGATTATCTGCAGAAGGACAGCTGAGCCTGTACAAGCTAAGAGGGGACTCAGAGAGCTGACCCCTAGAAGGCATGGATAAGGCTTCCTTAGGCAAAAGGCAAATGGTAACAAGGTGCCTCGCACCCTTAGGTACCCTCAGGAAGAGTCACTGCTTCCAGAGACACAGAGACAGCTGGGTCCATCCCACATAGGGAACCATGTAATTACAATGATGGGGACCCTTCCTTTCCCCACAAGCCCTAATTGCCACTGTATGTCTAATTGTGTTTACCATTCCCTTGAGGACAGGGACTGTTCTCTCCTATCTACTTTGGGAGCCCACAGCCATGCACACACACACACACACATATATATATATGATAAATGATGATGACAGTGATGATGTACATGCAAGTTGCATGAATAATATATGGGGGAAATGCAAGGCTTAGCGATGCGTGAGAAAAGAATCTTACAAAAATGCAGACATGCAATTTGCATAAAATAAATGATGTATGTGAATATTATATTAATTATGCGCATACGTTTTCATAAGTTAATTGTGTAAGAGAAACACTCATAACATCAGCAACTGCAAAGCACAAGCCGAGAGCACAGCAGAGGCACGGTCATCTCTGCACAAACATTTCCATATTCAAGAGTAATATTAGCTTAAGATTATTAATCGAGGGAACTGCCCTGCTTTGGCTATTTGCACTACTCATGAAGCCGTGACAATAGGAGACACGCTCCAAAAAAGCAGGTGTAAGGCTAAATGAGGCGGACAGTGTACCAGGCTTATTAGCATATGATTAATATGCATGAGTTTGGATCACGCCCACTCTAACGGTATTGTAATTTAGTGGGTGCGGCGGTTGGGACGCACCATCCGCTTCTTCCGTTCGCCTAGTGCCCGACAG